TCTACGTCTTTGCACATTTCATTCTACTGTGTTTTGTCTTCCTAAGCTGTCATTTGAAATAATCTGTTCTGTTTTCTTCCTCTTTTCTTCATTTCATTTTAGCTACACCCATGTTCTCAAGCAAAGTTCAGTCTCTTCCAACAACAATTTGCTCTTAATTGTCTTTCTTGTCTTTTAATGAGCCATTGCTTTCTTCATGTGTCATATCCTAGATGCCAGCTTACAATTGGTCTTGTCTTTGGTCATTGGTATTCAATGCATGTATTCTTGGGATGGTCTCTGAGCTCAGGTGGGATATACTCAAGGTCATATGATGGCTTTCCAACTTGATTGTGCACAACAACAACAACAGCAAAGGTCATATTATTTCCAACAACTTGTGTTATGCAGCTAAAACAGCCTTGTTTGATGAAAATGAAGACCTGAAGCACTTCCTGTAGAAGATCAAAGACTATAGCCTTCTTTATGAATTGCATCTCAACATCAAGAAAACAAAACTTCTCACCACTGGAATAACAGGAACATCGTGATGGAGAAAAGACTGAAAATGTCAACAACGTGAATCCACAAAAAAACAATGAACCCACAATAAACTGTCCCTATCAGCAGTCAGGAGATAAGGAGGTCTGATTCCTTTGTATTCCATATGCTGAGGTACACACGTACCTCTACTGTTTTTTGTTTTGTTTTTTTTAAAAAAGGATTCTCCATGAATAAGTTCTTGATCATACATAATCTTAGCTTGCTCTCAGGCATTGTTTTATTTCGAAGGGCATATTTACCAACTACTTGACTTTCTTTTTTATTTTGAATTTTTGCATGGCAAAACCAGGAATTACCAACACATCTTGATTGAATGTTTGATCAATTTCTGAAGTTGATTGAGATTCTCACTTCTTGCTCTGTGCCTTTAGTAGTGGTGTGTCTTCTTTGTATGTGTATAAAATTGATCCATCACACTGACAGCACTCTACTTCAGGAAAGATTTTTTTTTCAATCTACAAGTTCAATGAAATCCCAATATAGATACCAATTCCATTCTTCAATGAGATGGGGAAGCCAACTTCCAATTTTGTCTAGAATGAAGAGACCCTGAATAAGCAAAGCACTACTGAAAACTACTGGGGGAAAAAAGAGAAACAAGGTAGGAGGCATCATACTCTCTGATCTCAAATCTTAATATACAGCCACAGTAATCAAGAGAGCATCGGTACAGATACAGAAACATAGATGAATTGAATAGAATTGATATCCCAGAAATCAACTCATCTCCCTATGGTTAACTGATTTTTCACAAGGAGACAAAAATCAGTTACATGAGGAAATGACAACCTCTTTAACAAATGGTGCCGGTAAAACTTCCAGTATAAAATAAAAAAGAAAATATTCTTAACCTACAGACAAACAAAACAAACAAAAAAAATCAAACAACTGCACTATCTACAGAAAAATTAAGCAAGACCCACACCTCATACCATGCACAAAAACCATCTTGAAGTGGATCAAGATCTAGGAGTGAAACCAAAGACTATACAATTCATCAGAGAAAACTAGGAACAACTCTAGAAGCCCTAATCAACAGCATGACCAGACTTTCAAGAATAAGGAAAAACCTACAACCAGGAGAGAATAGACCTTCTAAGGATCAAATCCCTATGCACAAAAAAAAAACCTCTCCAACAGGATAAAAAGGAAACCCACAAACTTGGAAAAATATTTGACAATGACTTATTTGATAAGGGATTCATATCTTAAATTTCTAGAATTCTCCATCATCTCAATAAGGAAAGATTTTAAAATGTTCTTTTTAAAAGTGAATGCAGCACCATACTTCTGTTTGTCATTTCTGACAAACAGAAGGCTTATGTGTGTTGTTCATAAGGTCACTATGAGTTATAGTCAAGTGAATGACATCTAACAACAACATAGGTATTGAAAAGGTCTGAAGAAAAGTCACAACCCTGTCACATACTTTTCCTGACTTAAAAATAGGCAGTGTTTCCTTGTTCTATTCTGATAACGGTTTTTTAGCTGAGCACAATTAAGTGTTTGGGAATTTCTATTCTTCTGAACGTAATACATAATTTGTTATGATCCACATAGTCAAATGCCTCTGCATAGTCAAGAAAACACAAGTTCAGTATGCACTGCTTTTCACACTGTGTTTCATATAATCATTACCTTGCCCATCAATACCCTGTCTTATCGCCACACACAAATAAACATTTTTTTTCTGGTGTGTTCTGCTTTTAGCCAAGATCCATCTAACATTAACAATGATACCCTCATTCCACAACCTTCTCTGAATCCAGCCTGACTTTCTGGCAGTTCCCAGCCAGTATTGTTCTAGCCATTTTTAATAACCTTCAACAAGGTTTTTACCTGCAGTGAGATTAATGATTTTGGTAGGTAATTTTCAAATTCTGCTGTATCACTTTTTCTCAGAATGATAAGTCATCCAGTCATCTGGCCAAGTTCCCTGCCTACCAAAGGTCTTGGGTTAGACTAGTGAGCACATCCAGGGCTGCAAGTGTTCAGTGAAACGTGCCAATTGATATCTATCTGTTCCTGGTGCTTTTTTTTTTATTACCATGCCTTCAGTGCAGCCTGAACTTCTTCCTTCGTTACTACTGAGTCTTGATCATATTCCACTTCCTGAAACGGTTCTATGCCAGCCAATTCTTTTTTGGTACAGAGACTCTTGTGTATTCCTTCCATCTTTCCATACTTCCTGTATCATTCAAGATTTTATCCATAGTATCCTTCAGGCTTGATTTTGTTTTCAGCTCTTTTTAAACTTGAGAAATGCAGGGTGTAGTCTTCCATCTTTATTTTCTGACTCTAGCTCTTTACACATTGCATTGTAATACTCTGCCTTCTTGAGCTGCCCTTTGAAATATTCCACTCATGTCTTTACTTGAGCATTTCTTCCCTTTGTTAGATGATATGTTTGCTCAATTTAAAATGGTCAATAATGGTCTTTTTCAGCTTTTATAGCTTTTAGTGGTCGGGAGTGGGGCTTCCAATGGAAAGGTGTAGAGGTGCTCCATGGGAGAAGGATGGGAAATCTCCTCCTTGTGATTAACTGCCTCTGAAAACCTGCTAGAGGGTCACAAATAGGTTGGTTCCAACTGAACAGTGCACAACAACAATGCCAACATTACTCATTTCCTATGGGATCCATTTCCTTTTTAACAATTTCCAGTTTTCCTACAATCATACTTTGTACATTCCAATTATGAATCTTTATAAGCTGTTTCTCTTCATTTGGCATCACCAAATACTGAAAACGTGAATCCACCTGGGCTGTTAAGGTAGACTCTGCTTTGACGAAGCAGCTCTCCCCTAGTGGTATTCTGAATGGCGTGCAACCTGAGGGACTTATCTGCTGAAGGCATACCAGAAAATGTTTTGCTGCTGTTCAGGAGTTACACACAACATATGCTTTTTAGGACAGTCCCCATTCTATGTAATACATTACATTACATAGTGGATGACTTGAGGCTGATGGAATTATTTTCTTATTATAAAATGGAAATACTTATTTGAATTCTAATTAGCTCTGAGATATTAAGTAATTTTGATGAAGTCTTTTACTCAATGATTTTCAGAATTCAATGTCAAAACAAAACATGTCAGGCAAGTTCATAAAAAAAAAACCAAACTGCTCTCTGATCCCCACAAAATCACCACAGCCCCAAACATAGACTTGTAAGTGGATTAATTACCACGACAGAGTTGAAAAAGTTCCAAGTCAAGGAAACTAAAAATATCTATAGGAAATTGAGAGGATTTCTAAGGAAGAAAACAGTAACAACACTTTTTAAAAAATTAGGATTCTTCAGCTTTAAAAAACATTCTCAAAGTTTATATAACCGGAACAGGTAGACAAAGAGAAAACCTGTATTTAGTTATTATAGAGGAGATTAACAGTTCTAAAAAATGCTTATTATTAAGGTCTAAAATAAATAGTTTAATAAAATAAATAGATTTAGAAAAATATATGAACATACTATTTCACCTAAGGAAAAACTACAAACATGAGAGAGACAGGAAGAGCTCTTTTAAAGGTTAAAAGAAAAAGAAACAAAGACCACTCAAAGTCCAGGGAGAGCTGAGAGCATGCAGAGGGTTACATATATAAATACATGGTGTCTATATAAATCATATATAAATATACTATGTATATCTTTACACATAAATACATTACGGAGCTTATAAACATATATGTATAAATACACAATGCAGCATATTCTTGTCCTAATCATTGTTTGACACTTACACAGAATAGGGACATGTTTGTTAACTAACTGAAGTCTTAAGTGGCCTGTTATCACAGCTTTAACAGGCAGGAAATCATGAGTAAACAGCAATCACAGATTTTATAAAGATAACAATAAAAATCACAATATCCAGAATGAAGGCTACATAAGTGGAATGGACTTGTGGGGCGTGATTGTATAACAATGAAAGAATTTGTCTTTTACTTTTTAAAGAGAAGAACGAACTGGAGGGGAGGGGTGGGCAAGGAGAAAAGTGCAACAATGAATGAATGGATATATCTGTAAATTTTCATTAAAATTAATAATAATAATGGGGAAAAAAATCACAATATCCAACAGTGGTCCAGAGCTTATAATATACATGTATTGCACTAAATAAACTCATTTGTCTCCCTGGATACTACTTTTCAAAGACTAAAACAGTAGTGTATCGAAACAAGAAAATTGCTCAAGGACAAAGAATGGTAGAGTTTGGGTTTGAGCCAGGAGCCATACTGTATTCTTACCACTGAGCTATCCCAGCAAGCCTTGGGGTTACCACAGCATCCTCTAAGCCCCTAAATATGGCATTATGTAGGTTCTCACTTGATAGGACTTTCTTTTTGAGTATTTGAAAAAATTAATTATAGGTTTACAATTATTCATATTTCAGGACAGAAAAACTAATAATCATTATTTTATTTGTTCTTCATTAAACTGTGCATATTTTAGCTTTACCTCCAGTCTTCCTTGAGCATGACGCAGGAACACCAGATTGGCCCTGTCTGTCTCAGAAGATACAGGGGTCCAAGGCCAGGCAGCTCCACTGTCCAGGGGCCACCAGCAAACCACCATGTCTTGAGCACAATTAATAGCTAGGTGACATGCTGTTGTCCTATTAACTGGGCCAGGAATTTCACAGTAGGAAATCTAATGGTAAAAGAAAAAAAAAAAGAGGGTAAAAATAAGATTCAAGAATCCTCCAAATATTACATAGATTGAGGCATTGGTAAATGTAGATAAATCCAAGTAAATATGCACATTAAATATGTGCTTAAAGAGGTGTCAGAATTTACCGAATTCATTTGACACATATATAAAAAAGACATATGTTCAAAATATGCCCCCCCCCAGCCCAATTTAACAGCAGAGGAAAAGAAAAGAAGGAATACGAGTCAGGAAGGAATGGGCTCTCAGAAGCCAAATCAATACCAAAATGTACAGTCATGGCTGCCTGAACATTGACCTACACACAAAATTTAAGACCCGCTGTATTAAATGACAAGTTCACTGCTGCCGACCAAGAGTGTCTGCCCACTGTTTAAGACATAACATATTAACAATGCCTGACAACAAGAAAGGGAACAGCAACTTGGGGGAACGTGCCTTTAAAGCATCTATGAGACATTTGCACATACTTTCTACATAAAGGGGATCAAGCCACAGCACCACACGTTAAAAGTCTCTGCAAGCTTCTGAGAATTGTGCTTCTCTTTCTTCAGATGGATTTGTAGAATTTATTATTCAAACTATGTTATTCTGGAACATGGTTATTTGAAAACATAAGCACGGCATCATGTGGGTGACACATGCCAGCAAAATATAGATTGCACCGTATTTCTGCTGAATGAATTAATGGAAGGTTGATAGCTTGGAAAAGAGAGAGAGAGGGAAAAAAAAACTATCTTGCCATTGCTGGTCAGCAATAATCGAACCACTTTCTGGGGATTAAGCGCATGGCTAAGCCTACTGGACCAGACACTAGCAAAGGGCAGGGGGTCTTCTTATCAGAGAAATGCTTCTGGAGCCAGTCTCACTACATGACAGCTTGCTTTCATATTCCTGTCTGCAAGACAACAAAGGATGGAAATAATGCGATAATGCCAGAGTGCAATGGGTGTTAAGAACCCGCTGCATTTATGTATTGTATTTAGTAAATAATCAGGCTCATCCAAATTGTGATCTCACCACTCAACCAAGGCCATTAAAATCAAGGTTAATGCTTTAATAATCCGCTGCCTCCTTTTTAAAAAAAATATGGTCAAAAGGAACCCTTTTCTATTTGCATGGCCATAATATCATTGACCTCTTCATCCTCTGAATACACATCAAAAGGAACTGGAATCAAAGTAATTACCAGTGTTGTTCTCTCATGGTAAACATTTAACTCCTTGGACTTCCCCTTCACTGTTAAATAAACTGAACCGGGTTGTTTTTGGGGTTTTGTTTGTTTGTTTTTAAATGTAGCTGGAAAACTTGTTAAAGGTCAACAGTTATGGGATAGTCAACATGCTATTTCCTTTGCCAAAATTATTTCACTATGAGAATATTAAAATATGCTCCAAAGAAAAACAGAATGGTAATACTCTATGCCACTTCTTTGCTTTAAAAAATCCAAATAAACAATGACAGAAGTCAGTTTTGCACTTTCCAAGTGCAAACTGTTATCTTTAGTATTTAGTATTGGTATTTTAAATAGCTATGTACAGAGAAAAACCACAATGGGATTGGTAAATCCTTTAAAACACACAAACATTATTGTAAAACCCTGCTTGCCCCAGAAAGTTATTTATTAGTTTCTAGATGAGGAAATAAGAGATAACACTAGCAATTGACATTTTTAGTCCTTATATAGTGCATAATTTATATTGGCTAACGTGCCATGTTTTCTAGGAATTTTAATGGTATCAGTATCCTATCACAAAGGACAAGTACACATGTAAAATGAACAAGTTTAAGTATCTTTCCAATAGACAAATGATAGTTGGACTATAATAAATTTATTTTAAACACAACAAAGCAACAAAATTAAGTCCATGAGTTTTAGTTACTTTTCCCTTGTGCAGAAATAATAGAGAATAAGTATGTTTGTGATTTTCCAAATCTAAAGGTAGAAATAATTGCCTTGTGTAAGGAGCCAAGTACAGGCTCATTTTCTACAATGACTTCACAAGAGAAGATGATATCTAACAATTTATCTCTAATCTTGATAAAGAGTAATTACTATCTTTCAGTTGAAAATAGTTTATGACGATGTCTATCACACCTAACATGGACAAATCTGTCATAAAAATTTACATAATACCATTAAAAGTATTCACTTTAAATGGCTTAAGTTAATGTGCCATGATGTATTTTCTTTTCTTTTTTTTATTTTAATTTAGTGTGTTTATTTTCATGATGTATTTTCAAGACTGGTATTAATAAGCAACTTTGTAAATGAATCTACAATTAGTCATTCTGAAACATAGCATCCCATTAAGACTGCTAGTATCTTTTTTTGTTCAGCAACCAACAAAAAATATTTGTTTCTTTCTAGGAAAGAAAAAGTATCATAAAGTTTTATTGAAGCTCCATAATGGGGCTAACAAAATTAGACTTTATTTCCACATTGAAAAACTAAAGGGTATCTTCTTTCATCCTAAAAATATTTTTAGAAGAATAAATAAAATAAAATTAAAATAAATTAAATTAAATCCTCCCTAGACCACTGTCACCGCAGTTATAATTATGAAATAATCTGAATGGGCAAAAAGCTAGGTTAACTTACTTCAGCAAAATCATATACCTAAAGTTTCAAGATAGAAAGCTGGCTCCTAATATGATATAAGTGTGGCATCTTTTTTTTTTAAGGGATCTCTGTATCAGCTCTGTCCCCAGTGAACAGTGAACTGTCTCAAATCCACGTCACAGAGGCTGGATCAATCTTGCAAACACCAGTCATTGTTGAAAAGAGGCCTTGAACTGAAACAGCCTGGAAAATGTATTAGATCCTTGTCCGAACAGAGCATGCCTGCCAAGCAAGTTAAAAGGTAATGTGGCAAAACTTAAACGTGCCATTTAAAATAAAAATCATACCTTAACAGATGTAAAAGCCTTGATACAAGAAAACAAATTGCCTGGAGTCAGTGAAGGGAGAGATACGAACACATGAAAGAGATTTCTTTTTGCATTTTGACCAGTTATGGTGGGGGTGGAGGTGGGACCTCCTTGTTCATTACACTTTAATAGTAACCTTTCAAAGTGCCGCCTTCTTTATTTTCTTATGAAATGGGATCTAGAGACGCTATCCTACCCTAGAAAGATGATATGAGGTTTTAGGAGGAAAATAAAAATGGTGTGTATATCATCACTGCCAACCAAGAAAACAATTTTCAAATCTGTAATTTGCCTTTGTAATAGATCTTTGATATAAATTACTCCAAACATGCCATTGCCACATATTCCTAATGAGAGAGAAAAAGAAAACTTAGAACAGACACTCTTTCTGATGAATCAAGCCCAATACTATGAAACTCACATTTTTCCAAAATCAGGAACTATTCGGAAATCTTAAGCATGATAATATCAACTCATACCCTTGTAAGTCTTAGCAACTCATAACAGAGATCTTGAACACTGTACCTTATAATCCAAAGCTGAAAGTTTTTCTAGTCTCTTGGTTATATCAGGAGAGCCTATCTGCTTGGTAAACTGAATAAAACACAGCTTGTTTTGTGCCAAAAATGATAAGATGATAAAACTGTCTGTGAAAAGAGCTAAAAAGAAAAAAAAGATAATCATCAAGTCATCACCAATCAATAAAAAATAAAAATATTTTCTCACTGAAATACATGGCACTTTGAGAACAAAAAAAATATTGTTCTTAAATATCAATGACTTTTTACCAGGATATTCAAGGTATAAATAAATATTCATAATCAATCTCATCAAATACAGATTGGTATTTCCCTTCTTTCCTGTGACCACTGTAATATATATACTAACTGTGCAGAGACTTCTATTGAATGAGGGACGTTTGGAAGCAGGCCTAGGAAGGGATAAAACAAAGACTGCCATAACCGAGTGGAATAAGGAAAATGTTTACTTCTATTTATGCTTAGTCTTTGATCCTGTGTTTATAATATAAACCATATGAGAGCATTAAGATTATTGGGAATATACACCCATCAGTGGTCTGATCATCAATGCCATTTATTTCTCATTTTGAAAAATGTACATCGCTTAACTTTTTTTAGGTGTGAACGCTAAACAAAATACAGTATTTTATGCCCAAGAGATACATTATATGTTACTATTTTTCATGAGCTCTGGCAAAATTCTGATTTACTCAGTATATGTGTCCTTGAGGTTTTTCTACGTAGGAAATCTATGTTTCTTTCTAGAGCACACAGTAGATAATATTCATAGGTCACATAAAAAAAGAGAAAGTTATTCGTAAAAGCACACAGTGGAAATCTGAAAAATTCTTATTGTTCTTGTAAAGTAATTACTGAATATTTTATATACTTTCTTCACATCCCCCGTCCTGGCCAAGGGAACAGTGACCAAGAGTGGATCTACACAATTGCAGCAGAACTGGGACCCTGCCAAGAAGCACCTGGTTATCATGGTCCCGGAAGAGATGTGATTTGGGGCATAAATAAAAGAAACAACCTCATCATGGGCACTGTCTCTTTCAAAGCTGTCAACCAGAGGGGTTAACAACGAGACATAGGAAATGCCCCTCTCACCGAGATGCTTCTTCAGCACCATATTCTGATAAAGAAGAGGGAAGGGCACACTTAGCAATCTCACCTTTAGCTTATTATCCTCACTAATGTTGTGAATGATACAGCGTGTTTCTTTAAAATGATGACTCTTTTCCTAGTTTGTTCAAGAGACAGCTAGAGAGACCATACAGCAAAAGGAAAAGATCTTTATTCTCACTTTTCTTTCCTTAATTGTTCAATTTTAGATAGACAATAATATTTTATGACGGTGGCTATTTCTATACTTTCTTTTAAACCTTGAATAAAAGAATATAGTACCTGGGTTCAAATCTTGGTTCAATCAGTTTCCAGCTACATGACCCTTTTTGATATCTCAGTTTTAGATTTCTTATCAATAAACTGGAAAGAATAGTTCCTTATAAGGTATTTTTTTAATTAAATGAAATAGGTAACACTGACGCCCAATACAGAATTTTTAAGGCTCAACCACTGCCAGTAGCCTTCCTTTTCAATAACTAGCTTAAAATGTTTCTCTTAAAAGTTGGCTGTGCATCAATTCTATACTGATTGTGGTGTCACTTAATAGTGTGTTTATGTGGCCTTGATTTATACACACACACACGCACACACACGCACACGCACACACACTCTCCTCACCCCAAAGTCTTTCAAAAGTCAGTAATCATAGACTTTGGTAATAAAGACCCTTCCTGTGTACAGAGCATGGATTTCTACTGATGGCTGTGTTGACAGACATGATTGTGTTATTCATTCAAAATTCATTTGCATGTGCAAGTATTTCAAATGTCAACAATAGGGGAGTAACTCTGGAGGAACACACACACAAAATTAAACTATTTTGAAAATGCTTACATTGACATTTTGTAAAGAAAATGTGAAAAATATTCAGAGAATAAGCCTCCCACTTGATAATTAAAAAACACACACACCAACAACCCTAAACCTGATAGGAAATATTAGGCAGAACTGGTATTGGTCTCATGGGCTGTAACTATGCTATTACAAGCAATTACTTGTTGTGTTTGCAAGTCCCCAGTGGTAATAATTAGTCTACCTGTTGACACTCTATTCCTCTTGCGCCTGTTAATGTAGGCAATTGATTTGCACATGGGGGTAATTACCATCACTGATGGGGTCTGAGATGAGCTTCCCCACCAGGCTTCTGTCAATCACCACCTTCTCCAGCTGCGGCCCAGAGATGCTTAGAGACACCAGCACACCTGTACCAAACAGGAGCTAAAACCAGGTCGAAGGAGGGGGAAGGAGACAAGAGGAGAGGGAGAAGCTGAGAAACAAGAACATCTCTCAGAACATACAATTTACAAACGTTCTGTGTTTACACATCCATCTATGACAGGAAAGTAATTTGTCTGCATTAAAAATAATCACTGATATTTTGAGCAAAAAAGAGGAATGTGGCTAGACGGCGCTATGCGCATGAAATAAGGGAATCTATATACAGACACATAAGAACCCTGTAGCACAGTGGTTAAAGTGGGCAGCTCCTAACCGAAAGAGTGGCAGTTCAAACCCATCAGGTGCTCCAAAAGATAAAAGAGACCGTGTGTTTCTGTAAAGATCGCTGTTGTCTGGTGCTGTAGAGTCACATCTGACTCACAGAAATCACATGGACAATGAAAAGAAATACTGTCCATCCTCTGGCTTCCTTGGACTCTCTGCTTGCTTTAAATCCAAGGACTTGAGTCAGAATAAACCCAGTGGAACGGCTTTTGGACTAGAACTTAGTCCATGTTTGATTGGCAGTCTACAGAGGGATCTGTGGTGGTCTCGTAGAGGGAGCTGCACTGCTAACCCCAAGCCCATCACTCTCTAGCCCTTGGAATGTACCCACGACTCTGTGAAGGGAAGGCCAACCTCAGTGCCTGCCACCTCTACAATCTCAGCGCTCAGCACCTCTACAACAACCTCAGTGTCCACGACCTCTACAACCTCAGTGTCCACCATCTCTACAACCTCAGTGTCCACCATCTCTACAACCTCAGTGTCCGCCATCTCTACAACGTCAGTGTCCACCATCTCTACAACCTCAGTGTCCACCATCTCTACAATGTCAGTGTTCACCACCTCTACAACCTCAGTGTCCGCCACCTCTACAACGTCAGTGTCCACCACCTCTACAACAACCTCAGTGTCC